CCCCCCCCAGCGCTGCTACCTCCGTCCATCGGCTCCCACTACCCACTGACCTCCTCCTCCCCAGCTCCCGAGAGCTTCAGGATGCTATTGCTTGCTCGTCCACCTCGATCCTCGGGTCGGCCTTGGCGTTGCCTGCACCCGGAGAAAATGGCCCCTCCGAGGCCGACATCCTCACGGCTCTGGCCGCTTGTCGTGGTGTGGTCCGAGAGGCCACCTCTCAAAGCCAGACCCACACAGCCCATCAGGCCACCCTTCAAGCGGATGTCACTCGCCTGGAAACCACACTTGCTGGAGTGCAGTCCCGCTTGGCCGAGCTGCTGGCCGCCCTGGCACCGGGCATCCTGTCCCCCATGACATTGGCCGAGGTGCCGGGCCTGCGTAGCCCCCCGGAGCCGGACGCCCCGTCCGACTCTCTGGTCGCCTGGGCCGAGGGCCTGGATTTGGCCTCCGCCCTGGCCAGTCACCGGAGCCGGCTGCAGCTCCTTCGTGGCCTCGACGCGATTGAGAAGAGCATGCGTGCCTTTGCCCTTGGCGAGGAGGGTGCTCCAGTTCGACACGACTGTCCTCTCTGCACGCGCCCCTTCGATCAGGGCTCCTCCCCGGAGGACGTCATGTCCGCCTCGGTGGAGGATTACCTGAGCACCTTGCGCCGGTCCCTGGCCGTGTCCGATGAGCAGTCCCAGCATCTGCAAGTTCGGCTGCTCCTTCGCTCGATTGGCGAGCTTGAGACGCTGCTCAGCCGCCAGGGGGACCTCCTGCGAGAGCTCCACCAGGCGTCCACCCTGCGCGCGGAACTGAGCGATCAGCGCCGGGCGCTGTCCGCCGCTGAAGATGCCGCACGCACTGCCGCCGCACGGTGCAACACCCTGGCCAAGCCTCTTGCCTCGCTGGAGGCCGTTGTCGCCCGCGTTCAAGCCCCCGGTCCGCAGGGCATGCAGCATCTCCTTTCCGAGCGCCGCTCTCTCCTCGAGCAGGTACCTCCTCTCTGTGGCATCTTGTCCTTTTTGTCCATTCCCTCGCGCCTGCCCTGCTGCTTTCCCCCTTTCGGTCTCTGACTCCCTCTCCTCCCCCCCACCCGCCATGGCGCCATCAAGATTGAGCAAATCGGCCCGGTTGCTTCGCAGGCTGATGCCGAGGCCTCCGTGGCCGATTGCAAGGCCGGCCAGTGCGCATATCTCCACATTTCTGCGTGTCATCTTGCTTTCCGCCCCCCCCTGCCCGCCATCTTTCTTACCTGCCGCCGGTATTGCATCCTGCTCTCCCCTCCCTGGCATGCCCCCGGGCCGATGGTATACACAGGGATCATCTTGATGCCCAATTGGAGGACCTCCGAACTCAGCATCAGGCTTTCCTGTCGCAGAAGGAGCGTCTCATGGACCAAATTGCCGCCGAGCGTGCGGTTGCCTCTCCCAGTGCCAGCGCTGATCGTCGGCGCGCTCTTCGCCAGCAGATTCAGACCTTGCAGGAATCCGCGACCGTATGTGCCCCGGATATCGCCTGCTCCTCTTCCTGCTCCCTCTTCTCCCTGTGCTCCCCTCGTGGTGGATCCCTCCCATGACCTCGCTCTCACCCCTTCGCGCGCGCCGCCGCCCCCCCCCCCTCCTGTGCCGCCCTCTTCAGACGCATGAGGCTGAGGCTCAGGCAGCCGCACAGTCCATCTCCGAGGCCCAGCGCCGACTGCAAGAGCATCGCCGCTCCAGCGAGTCCGAGCGCGATCGGCGCCAGGCATCCCATCGTCAATTGGCCGCTGGTGTGGCGGACCTTCGCGCGCTCTTGGGGCGTGCACGCGAACACCGCAGCCGTCTCGCACGCTTGGCCACCGATGCCCAGTCCGACATCGCGGGCTTCCATGCCCGCGGCTTGATGGGGGACAGCCCGGTCCCCGATGCCGGCGACCCTTCCACCCTGCGGGATGTCCTGGAGAATACGGTTCTCCCTCGGTTGGCTGCCAGCCAGGCTGACGCCGCTCGCCAGCGAGAAACCCTCCGTAGCGCGGAGTCCCATGCTTCACGGTTGTCATTGTTGCGGATCTGGCGCCAGCGCCGCCAGCAGCTGGTCACCGCACGCCAAGACACCGCCGAGCTGCTCGCCGGCGCCCGGGACCTGGAGGCCGAAATCCGCCGGAAGTCCCTGGCTCTGCGGGTTCCCCTGATTGCCACTGGGCCGACCCTCCGGCCGGACGATGCCAATCCCGATGCCGGGCCCGGAGCCCTCCGCCGGGAAGTGCTCTCCTTGAAGGAGCAGCGTGGCCGCCAGGCTGGCATCCTACAGGAGCTGGCTCGCCAGCGCGCCGACCGCGAGGCGTACCTCGGCCGGCCGGAGATCGCCGGGGCCGATGACGCGTACAAGAAGTTCCTGCTGGAGTTCCGCGCCTATGAGCTGTGCCAGCGCGACCTCGACCACTATGGGCGGACCATCGATGCGTCGATCGCGCGCTTCCACGCCCTGAAGATGCGTGAAATTAACCGCATCATCGCCGATCTTTGGGCCAGCACCTATACCGGCGAGGACATCGAGCTCATCGAGATCCAGGCCATCAGCGAGCGCCCGGCCGGCGCCGCCACCGACGCCGCTGACCAGCTGGACTCCTGCCACTATCGACTGGTGATGTACCGGAATGGCGTGGCTCTGGACATGCGTGGTCGGTGTAGTGCCGGCCAAAAGGTCCTGGCATCGATCATCGTGCGCCTGGCCCTGGCCGAAGCCTTCGGCCTGAATTGCGGCGTCCTGGTCCTCGATGAGCCCACCACCAACCTTGATGAAAGGAATGTCACCGCCTTGGCCGAGGCCCTCGAGCGGCTGATCACCGAGCGCCGGGCGCAAAACAACTTCCAGCTGGTGCTCATCACGCACGATGAGAACTTCCTCGAGCTTCTTGGCCGCTCCCACATCAGCCAATATTACCGCGTCAGCAAGACCCTCACCGGCTCGGTGATCGACCGACACACGGTCAACTGAGTCGCCGGTCTCGGAGGCGCCCTGTCCTTGTGATGATGTTGCACTTGCATCCTGCCGTCTGTTTCTTTTTCTTTCTTTTTTTTCCCTTTCCCCTCGTCTCCCCTTCACGAGAAGGATGCCCGAATAGAAGCCTCATGGCCCCCTTGTCGGGGTATCTCCGGAACTTGGCCTGCTGCTTGTCAATTGCATCCTACCCTGTCTACATTCCCTATTTTCCTCTTTGCCCTGCAAGCATGGCATGGCTAAACATCTTCCCGCACCTTGGCCGGCCGCAGAGAGAGAGAGAGAGAGAGTGCCGTGGGATGTGTCCTCTCAGGGAGGCGGGGAATCGCCGATCAAGTCATCGCATCGGCGCCCGCAGCTGGCCCTGGGCGATGGGAGAGGCACTCCTGGCTGAGAGCCTCGACACCACCCGCACCTTCAACAGTCACGCATCCTCGAATGAACGATGGCCGCCCACATCTCCCAGCCCTGTTGCAAATGGTCCGGACACCACTAGAATGGGCACCGGCGCAAGGAAAAAAAAAACCCCAGCAGGACCTCCCAAAGAGCAGCACAAAGAAGCTCTCACAACAGGTGTGTATCTATATCTGAAACGCCCAAAAAGCGAGGAGGAGGAGGAGCAGGAGGAGCACGAGGAGCAGGGACAGGGAAGGGGGACTTTCGGCCTGTGCAGGGGGGGAAAAGGGCAAATGCCAGCCTCGCATGGGCGTCCCCCGCCCCCCTCTCCCCTTCGCCTCCTTTGTTCCCGCGTTATTCGTCGGACACCTTTGACCGGCTCATGCCCTCAAGCACCTGCAGGTAGGCACTGGTAGACGCGGCGTCCCCGCCAGGCGACCGGCTACTGTTCAGTGGCCCAAGCCCCAAACGGGCCAGGTCCGCGGCCAGGGTGTCCTCATGGCGGCGCGGTGTGCCCGTCGCCCCCATGGCCCCCGACATGGTGGCCCCCGTGGGCAGGAAGCCACCCTCGCCATCTTCCTCGTCACTGCTCTCAAACTGATCCGAGTACTGGCCGCCGATGTCAAAGTCATCCTCATCATAGGAGTCCTCCTCGTGCTCGGCGAACGGATCAATCGCCGAGTCCATGCCGAAGGTATCGCCATCATCCTCATCCTCATCATCCGACGCATGCGGGCTGTCCCAGGGATTGCGCTCGGCTTGGCGCTGCTTCCGACGCTCGGCCGCCATATCTCGCTGGTACTTGGCCAGCAGGGCCTGGCGCTTGGCCTCCTCGTTGCGCAGGCGCTCGGCCTTCAGCTCCTCCAACATCGGCAGGTACTTGGTGTCGTAATCCACCAGCGACTCGTCGAGCGCCTCGAAGAACTCATCCATGCCCGACCCGACAAGGGCCGACACACCGACACACTATGCGGCGGGGGAGGGGGAAAACCGTGACCAGGGGCCGAGCACCCACCGAAAAGGCAGGACATTAGTATGTGAAGAAATTGAGCTACATATAGGCGAGGGCGGTGTGTGCGTGTGTGTGTGCGTATGTGCGTGTGTGCGTATGTGCGTGTGTGCGTGTGTGCGTGTGTGCGTGTGTGTGTGCGTCTGCGTGAGACTGAAAGACGCACGCGAAGATGCTCGTAGAACTCCTCCAACACCAGGGCCATGGACCGCACATAGGAAGCCATATATGTGGTATCCCGCTCAAGGGCATCGCTCAGGGCATCCGGGTCGGTCATCCACTCGATGGCGAACTCGTGCGAAGTGATGTCCGCCTTGTTGAAGGCAATGATGTACGGCAGCTGCGTCTTGTACAGGATGGAGCAGCTCATCAGCATGTTGGACATGAAGGTGGTCGCATTCAGGCACCGCATCAAGTCCACCGTGTAGATGAGCGACGTGGGGTATGAGTGGGCCAGGAATTCCGTGATGATGGTTCCGGAGGCCGACCAAGTGAAGACCTCGATCTGCCCAGGCGTGTCGACGATGATGTAGCTGCCGCAGATCCCAGCCGGCAGGGAGGTCAAGTGGACACAAGGCAGGGCCATCCAGAGGACCAGCAAGAGACGGGGGGGGGGGGGGGGGGAGGTTAGTGTATGAGGGGGTCGTTGTTTGCACATGGTGGTGCCGGTAGTGCGGCCCTCGACGCGCGCGCACAGCCCCATGGCAAGGGGGAAGGAAACGCACTCAATCTCGGAAGCACTCTTCTCAAGGTATTCCATCACCTGGTCGAACTTGGTGGTGAACAGATTCAGGGCCGTCATGATGGCACCATTGGGGCCAAGCTTGAACCTAAAGTAGGGAAGTCAGCACCGGGCCTGGAGGAAGGGCAGACAAAAGAGCGAAGACCGATCTGGTGTTCACATACTGCGTCATGACATCCTTGAAGGTGATCGTGTCGCGAATGTCGATGTTGGCAAAATAGGGGATCTGCGCAACGGCCGGGTCCAAGTTGATCGTGTAGACACGCTTCTTCTGGGCGGCCAGCTCGGCAGCCAGCCGCTGGAACAGGAACAACCATGTTAGGAAGGTCGCAAGGAAGAAGCGGAAGAAGAGGGTAGCAAGGACAGCATAGGTAGCAGCAGCGGCGGCGGTGGAACCAGCAGCGGCGGCGCAAACATCATCCATGGGAGTTGATGTTACCGCGGCTATTGGGGGGCTTCCTTTGTTCGCCAACCACCGCCATTGTCGCTGACGATGGCCGACCGTGATGGTGGTCACCAGGCACGCACCTGCACGAGCGTCGTCTTTCCAGATCCAGCCATGCCTACCATCATCAGGACCTTGGGCTTGTGAGCACTGCCAGAGGCAGGCACCGAGGCAGCCTCCACAGCGGCGGCGAGCTGCTGCACGGCGGTCTGATCAGGAATGGACTGCTCCGACATGTTGGGCTTCTTTCAAACAAACAGGCGAAGGGATCACTGAAGAGAAGAGCCGAGGAGAATACGGTGGTGGTGGGCAATGAACGGCAACAATCGGGGGGGGGGGGGGGGAAGGGAGGGAAAAGGGGGAGAGGGGAGAGGGGAGAGGAGGGAGTGCTCGACCCTCCTGGAACCCGGAGGTCCGGGAGGGTGCGCCCACCCGATCGCAATTGCTCTTCATCTCGCAAGACAGCCGCCACAACACAGCCCCACCCAGCCACGCTTCGCATTCGGAGGGCAACAAGCAATTCAGATCGCTGCCAAATCCCCCCCCCCCCCCCCTGCACCCTCATTCTTACCACCAACCACCCCAAAAACACCACCACACACACCCCACACAAACACACCCCACCACACACGCAAGCCCTGCACCCGGCCCCCGGCCCCCGGCCTCCGGCCCCGCCTCGCCGGCCCACACGCGCGCACACGCACATATGCCCAGGCGCCGGTCCAAGCAGGACAAGGGCATCGAACAATCGAGCAAATGAGTGCGTGATATTGGAGCGGGTTCACGGGGCCAAAACCTGGAAGTTCCACGTGATGATCACAGGCCCAGGCATGTTGGCCTTGTGCCAGTGGGCCGCCTCCGCCGGGAAGGACTCGTCCACGAGCCGGAGCTCCGGCGTGTGGAAGGGATAGCTGGCCCACACCCGGACATTGACCTCGGTCGTGCGCCCGGGGAAGGTCAAGACCAACGAGCTGACCGAGCCATTGGAGGCGCGCCGGGAAACGGCACGCTCCCCGGGCCCGGTGGCCAGGTGCCCGGCGTGCCCTGCCTCCGGGATCTCAATCGGCAGAGACCAATCCTCCAAATCGCCGTCAAAGTAGATGACCAAATTCGCGGCCCCCGGCGCCAGGATATCCAACTGGGCCTGCCACGAATCCGGGTCGACCGGCGATGCCGACGACGAGAAGAAGTACTTCGGCAGGATGACATTCGGCCGAGGCAGCGACGTGCCTGGCTCCCGACCGAGGGCCTCCGGCCGCAAGCAGTACCCAGCCGTCTGGCTGGAAGTCATCTGGAATTGGTAGGTCGGCACCGAGCACGGCACCCAGGACTCCTGGCCGAGCCCATGCGCCTCCATGGCGTCCAGCACCGGGTGCAGGTCCCCGCGATTGGGAGCTCCCAGGGTCACCGACACCGTCTGATCCGTCATGTTGTACATGTGCATCAGATCCACCCGCCGGGGATGCAGCGCGTCATATGGCTGCAGCGAGGCCGCCAGCAGGAGGGTCCCAACCAGCGCCACCGCCAGGGTAGCCCAAGTGACCGCCGTCCGGGCCACCGACGCTCGGGTTTGGATTACCAACAGCGGCAGGGACCCCAGCCCGGTGAGGATGCCCACCACCGCGCCAAAAGCCGCGTCGCCCGGGAAAGTCGACCCGAACCGGTCCAGCATCGGGATCAAGCCGGCCACGGCGGCCCAGCACACGAACAGGTGCACCGTCAGCGGCAATGCCACCCACAGGAGCAGAGCCACCGCCGCCAAGAGTCGGCGCAAGTTTCGCCGCGCCTTCGACATGGACACGCGCACGCTCCAAATCACGGCCGCCGGCAGGAACATCAGCGACCAGTACAGCACCAAATAGGACATGCCAAAGCCCGATACCGACAGGATCAGTAGCATGATCTGCCAGACGCCCATATCGGGGGGGGGGGGGGAAGGGGGGAGGAGGTGACAGAGAGAGGGAGAGATGGAGAGAGAGGAAGGTCAGTTGGGCCGCAGGAGGCTCAACAAAGAGACGAGCGAGGGATGGGCTGGAGAGGGGGGAGGGGGGGGGGGACGACGGAACGGGGCAGGAGGGGACAAGCTGCCACAGGGGAAACCCCCAAACGCACCGAATATACAAACCACACGGAGAGGCCCATGGCCACCGTCGGCGTCACAAGGAATGGGGACTTCCGCCGGGGGAGGTACTTGGCCAGGGCAGCCAGCTCCTCGGTGGTCAGCATGGAAATCCGCTTGGCCGACGAGGAATATGGCAAGCCAACCGAAGAGGCCGCTCCGCCGGGGCCTCCACCGGCCACCATCACGACGCCAGCCCCACCGGGGCCCTCGCCCGGGCCCCCGGCAAAGTACTGCCGATGCGAGTAGGCATAACTCGAAGGCATGTGCGAGTAATCCCCAGGACCGGCAACCCCGCCACCGGGCAGCAGCGGGGCCGCCGCCGATGAGGACGAAGTCAAACTTTCGATGTAAGTATGCGCAGCACTGCCACCAGCATGGTGACCCGGGCCGGACTTGCCGCCGGACAGTGACGACCCGCCCGGACCACCAGACAGTGCCAGGCTGGTGTCAATGTCCCCCGGGTCGACGCCAAGATCATCATCATCCGAGGACAGGTGGTCAATGGACCCAAGTGGCAGGACCACACCATTGCCAACCCCGACCTGAGACGAGGATCCAGATGTCGAGGAAACCGATCCGCCAATCGAGCCACCCATGCCGGCGCCATGGCCACCGAGCGCCCCGTGACCCGGGGGAGACCCGCCAGCGGCAATGGCCCCCATGGCAGGACTGCCGCCACCCGGCAGGCCGCCAGGCCCCGAAGAAGAGCCTGCCGTTGGGGGAGACGCTCCGGCCGAGAAGGCTGCGGCCATTTGCCGCGCCGACAGCGGCGGCACCGAGATCCCACACCCATGGCAGTACTCCCCCGGGGACAGGAGATACCCACACCCGCAGTAATTGACCGAGCTGAGCTTCGGATGGCCGGTCGGCCCGCCGGCGGCGGATGCCGAAATCCCGGCAGCCGTGCTGGCAGAGGCGGCGGTAGATGCCCGTGAGCCGAGGGACGCCACCGATGAGCCGGTTGCCGAAACGCGGCCCGGACCGGGTGCCCCGGCCGGGGACACATGCGCACCGGAAGTCCCGCCAGTGAGGCCCACCACCGAGGCATTTCCAGTGGCAGACTCGCCGGGACCCCCGGCCGCACCATGGCCAAGCCCGCCGAAGCCGGTGTCGAAGGAATTGATGCTGCCCGGGGAAAGGGTGGATGCCAGGAGCGATGAGGCATCGGCCGATGCCAATGCCGCACGCGTTACATCCGCCGGCCGGGCCCGACCCAGGAAGGACATCAGCCAGCCGGCCATCAGGACACCGGCCAGCGACCAGGCCGCAATCATGGCCACCGAAGCCGGGGCATTGGCATACCAGATGGCCCGGCGCAGGGCCCCCATCATGGCACCACCGGTCACGCCGAAGAGCACCGCCAGGGGGATGGCCAGCAGGGCGGCCAGCAGGGCAGCCACCTGCATGCGAATGGTGGCCGGCACCCGGGCCCGCCATACGTGGGTCAAAGCCTGTTGGAAGGGCTTCGTCGAGAAGAGGGCCTTGGCATGGAGCGAGCTCCGAATGCTGAGGATGGCCTTGAGCGAGGAGGAAGAGCTGGCCGCCGCGCCGAGAGTCCCCGGCAGGCGAGTGGCCGCCGCGATCACCCGCCGCGCGGACAGGACATACGTCAGCACCGCCACCAGCAGGCACACCACAAAGAGGGTCACCCCGAGGGCCAGGGCCGTTGTGTGGCTGTAATAAACGAAGATCGTGAAGAAAAGATCATAGAACACGCCAGGCGGAGGGACGGGCGCCGGATCGCCGGGGTCCGAGGAGGCTGCGACGGCTTCGGCCCCGCTGGCGCTGCAAGTGGGCTCCGGCACCGAAGAATCCCCCACCACCCCGAGCACCGACGCCAGGGAGGGGTTGGGACTGATGACCGGCGACAGGGAGGGCAGGGGCCCGGCAAGGGCCAGCTGCTGCACGGTCCCATGTAGAGCCTGCGCAAAGTACAGCAATGTCCCACGCACATAGTCATCAAGGCCATCCAGCCGCGTGTGGTAGGAATACCCATTCTGGTAGAGGTCGATATCCAGCCCGGGAATGCCCATCTGGCTGAGGGCATAGTAGTTGGTGAAGCTGGGCAGCAGTGCATAAATGTCCGTCACCAAGGCCGAGGCATGTGGCGGGCTGACGCCTCCGGCATACGCACGCGCCAGCTTCGCCTGAGACAGGGCGTATGGGTTGTTGGAGCCACCCATCTGGGTGAGCAGCGGGATGCGCCAGCCGCCGGCCGAGTCCAGGTTGATGTGTGCGCGAACATCCGCAAACCAGGGGTCATAACTGCGGATGTGTGTGTTGCGAGAGGGGAAGAGGAGGGGAGAGAGGGGG